GTGCGAGGGGCGGGGTACACCCTGGACAAGTCCATCACAGGGCTAAATTAAAAATGTTTAATGTAAATGTTTCAAATAAATGTAAAAATAAATTTGAAAAAGTCCAAATGCAAATAAAACCTTTTTAAACTTTTGCAACCAGAAGCTGCTCTTCATATTAGTGACAAACAATAACAGTAACAACAGCTTTTTGAGAAGTTTAAAATTTCTTTAAAATACATTCAAAATGTTTAAAAATAAACTAAAAAATTAATTTAAAGTGCAAATTTAAATTTAGTTGTATACACAACTTTATTTTATAATGTTTTGAACATTTAAAACATTGCCTGGTAAAAACAGAAGCTGCTCTTCATATTAGTGACAAACTTTGGTGTTTTTTGATGAGTTACTTTCATTTTTGCTTCTACTTAAATTTAAAATAAGTTTCCATTCTCAGCAGGTTTCTAAGGTTCATCTTCTACATCTTAAAAAGTTGTTAAACATCTGAGTGGTGCACTACTGCTACTAGTGGTGAGAAAGTGTATTGCACCTTATTCTAAATCAATGTGGTCCCACGGCCCTCTGCGGCCCAAAGTTAAAAACTGTTGTTCTTTTGAGGCCCTCAAGGTGGCGCTCTCTGTTTTAGACTTTGCAAACTTTCACTTTTTTGAGATTTTAAACGGACTAGCCCCTCCACCATGAAGCTGTTTAATTCAGAAGTATAATGTCAGAATAAACACCAGAACTCAGACTAGAGAGGTTCCAGACAGAGAACAGAACTCGTCTGAGAGGTGAGGTCATTCAGAGGGACTCGTTCATGGAACAAATTCCCACGACGTGTCAGCGACAAACATTAAAACGATGATGGTGTGTGTGGTTTGTAGCAGGGATTTCTTCCACCGCAGAGCTACGCTGCAGCCGGGGGTGGAATGGGTCACTCCGCTGCTCTCATCTGATCTGCCTCCTCTGGCTGCTGACCAACCCAGTATGGAGAACTGGACTGTCCTGAGCCCAGAGGAGGTGCACGAGCACATGCACTGTCATGAACACGCACAAAGAGGCGTAAAAAAGACAAAGAGAACACCACAAAAACAACACAATGACTGTTAAAGTGCCTCTGACACATCCTTTAAATACAAAAAGTAAAAAATCTTTATATTTAAGTAACTATATGTTACACATGATTTTACCCATGGCATATTTTCTTTTGAATCTGGCTCAGTTCCTGAAACAGGAAGTGACATTAAAGGGGAACGTTTTGTAAAAATAAAAAAATAAAAAAATAACTCCATAGTCTTTACTTATTGAAACAATAATATTTGAACTCTGACAGTGACTCAAAATAATCAAAAAAAAAGGAGAGCTTCTTCTCTGCAGTCTTGTTTTGTTTGCTGTTGTAGCATCGCTCTGCATGCAGACATTCTCCTCTGACATCACTTCCTGTTACTTCACAAGCAAATGTCTCAACAACTGTTCATCTCAGCGGCGTGGAATTTCTTTTGTAACATGTTATTAATGTTCTCTTTCCAAAAACAAATTCATATTTATTCCAAAATGTGACAGAAGAGTCAGCGTTCAAATAATATGATTCAATAAACAAAGACCAGAGAGTTTTCTTTGTTAAAGAGTGATGTCACTTCCTGTTTCACTTTGGCCGAGACAAGCTCAAAAGAAAATATGCAGTTATGGGACAAAATGGGTTAAACTGTGTGTTTTATTCGAACTTTCTTAAATATAAAGATGTTTTCTTTGACTTTTTGTATTTGAAGAATATGCACGTCACAGACACTTTAATGCTGTTTGAGTGATCGAATGCATGCAAACAGTGAGAACATAAAAATAACCTTCTGATACGTTTGTTTTTATTAAAAAGCATTAAAAATGTTTGACACATGCAAACAGTGTTTTTCATTTGGACTCATCATGGAAACGTGGCAGCAGAGAAAATAAGGGCAAAGTACAAGATCAAGCAAAACCCTGATATTCTTCAAATAAACGCAATAAAACCTCTCAGTTTAGTGCGCTGTTTATTTATCCAACCTTGCCGTTTATTACTAAATCTTTATGAATGCAAAAATAATAGTGTTTGCGTTACAGCCTGGACAATAAGATGATTTTATCATCAGGGACTAAACGATGAAAATATGAAAATATGCGACCTGTTAGGTTGCAAACGAGTCTCTGATAAAAGTATAAATGTCCTTACCTCCTGCACGGATTACAGCAACATAAACAGACATCACAGAACCATCTGGAAATAATCGAGACAGATCTTTAATCCAGGAGATCAGGTTGGCTTTTCATCCTTCTACAAGTAGGAGTAAAAAAATAACTAAGATAAAGCGTTTAACTACAAATAAATATAATTTTAGTTTTTATTATTTGGTGAGCGTTGTCGATCTAACAGACCAAGCTACGTCTTTTGGAAAACAAAAGGCAGGATTTGCTTATTGTTGTGTGAAAACGCGTTTTTTATGGACCGGGCGGCTTCCGTAGCGGTCAGCGTTACTTGACGCAAACTCAAAATCATGGCGGACGAAGTTGAGCAGGTTCGTGTGGTTTGGAGTTATTTTTTAACACGCAGCGTTGATTTAATTGACTTATATTAGTTAGTGTCATTTGTTTTTACATTTGTGACGTATTGAAGGGCTTTATTGTTTGTTTTTATTTATTACAAACGTCATGTTAGCATGTTTGGGCCTGTGAAACCGGCTAGCATGGTTAGCCTAACTAGCATTAAGCGGCTATCGTCAAAAATAATGAACTCGTATTATTATTATTTTTTTAAAGAGGCGCTTCTAAAGTTAACAGGTTAAAGTTGTTTCTAACAGCCCGTCATTTTGACACTTTCTGCTCCCATTTATTGAGTTGTAGCTGCAAAATTTACCAGTTTTTAAACTTAGTATTTCTGCACCAACATGATGCTTTTAGCCAGAAAATCGTGGTGGTCTGCAGGAAAACAAACATGTAAAATATCATAAAAATTATAACACAGGACTGGAACATTAAAAAGTTTTGGATTCACAATAATAATTATAGTTAAAATATATGCACAACAAAAATAAGAGGTGTCTTAAAACAAAGCAGCTTCATACATATTTATACATTATTCTTAAGATAATCAATTACTTTGGTTCTAATTTATACATCTGCTTTTATTTATTTATTTATTTATTTCTGAAAATAGAAACTTGTGTCATAAACAAAGTAAAGTAAATTTTTATTTATATAGCACCTTTCATAGACATAGATTCACAAGGTGCTGTACAATCAGAGGCAAATCAAAAGATACACAATCAGAACAGGATATACAAAAATTTGGAACAAAAAAACTATAAAAGCTGTACAACCTTGAAAGTATCAAGACTGTGCAATCCAAAAAATAAAACAGGTAAATAATATCTGGACAAAAATGTGGAGGGCAGAGTAAAACATTAACATATTAAGATGAAAGATTTTTAAATCAGAAGTTAATTTGGAGGCAGGTCTCTGAACGGGTAGCCTGTTTAGAAAAATACATTTTTGATCAATTGAAATGATTTTGGATGAAAATACTGTCTGTTTGACGTATATTAATTTGATGAATTGTACGGTCAGTAGGTAGGGTTTGTTAGGGCTGCCACGATTAATCGACGACTAATCGATTATTAAAATAATCGATGACTAATTTAATAATTGATTAATCTTTTTTTTTTTTTTTTTACTTTGTTTTTCTCTCCAAACTGCTTTGACACCTTCCACTGCCACGTCTGCCTTTCTGTCCTTGACACACATGCACAGTAGTGGTAACTGGGGTAGGCCGTGGACGTCACAAGACATTATACAGACAGGCTCTGGTATCATGGCTACCTGACAACAGAGCTCAAAGTGTGGGATCATTTGAAGAAAATGAAAGAGAAACCTGTGTAATATCTGCAGAGCAGAACTTACCTTCCACAGCAATTATTTTTAGTTAGCATATAGCTAAAATCTAACCATGGTTATATAATAGCAGCTGCATTCTGACACGATAAGCTCTATGTTTTATATTCAATTAATGAATGATCCGATTAGTCGACTAATCGAATAAATAATCGGTGATTAATCGATTATTAAAATAATCGTTTGTGGCAGCCCTACAGACACTAAAAGGTCAGGCTGCAGAAAAATGCTGAAACTGGTTAAAAGCTTGTTTAAAGACGTGTGTTTTCAGATATTTCTTGAATGAATCAATGCTTTCAAGCGTGCGCAGAACGCATTAAATGTGAACGCACAAAGAAGGTTTGTTGTAACAAAAGTTGTTTTTAAATGTAGAAAAAGATCCCAGGATGAGATGATTCCAAGCAGCTGGTTTTTTAAAGACCAAATGAGAATAAGGTCTGATAAAAAAGAACAGGGTCTTTTATCAAATGTGTTTAACTGTTGCAGACGTCAGAATATTAAATTGTACATCATCTTGTGTTCATTAGCAACCAACTACCAACACGGTTGAGGAGCCGCTGGATCTGATCAGACTCAGTCTGGATGAGAGGATCTACGTGAAGATGAGGAACGACAGAGAGCTCCGCGGCCGCCTGCATGTAAGTTACACCCGCCTGGCACGGCTCGGATCACCTTACGTCTGTCCTCGCTGACACGTCTGTCCGTCTCAGGCGTATGACCAGCACCTGAACATGATCCTGGGCGACGTGGAGGAGACGGTGACGACGGTGGAGATCGACGAGGAGACGTATGAAGAGCTTTATAAGGTAGGTGGATGAGAAAACGGTTGAGTTTTAACACAACGAAGCGAATATTCTGCATCAGCAAACAACACATTCATGATAAAACTGTAATGTTTGACGTTAAAATTTGAAATGAAATTAAAACCATGGGATTTTTTTATTTATTTTTTAAAGGGGAGATAAAACCCCTTCTGTTCTTAGAAAAAGTTAAATAAAATATCAGATCTTACTTTGTGCACCTAACCAAAACGTCAGCATTTAAAAAAACATAATTAAAGTCAGTATTGAAAGAAAACCACTCACAGTAATGGAAACATGTTTACTCTTTAGTCTACCAAGAGGAACATCCCCATGCTGTTTGTCAGAGGAGACGGCGTCGTCCTCGTAGCTCCGCCTCTCAGGGTGGGCTGAACCCCTCTGCCATCATCATCCTGTAATAAACAATGAAACTTCTTTTTTTTTTTTAATTGGCTGCATAAATTAAACATTTGTTTTGAGTGACAGGGCAAAGAAAATGTGAAGTGAGAGCAAGTTTTTGTTGCTGGATGCTTTTTGTAATTTTGTTCAGATCTGTCCACAGTGGATGTTTTATTTATCTTTGTTCAGACAGAACTGAGTAAATCTTTTCAGTTGTTTGTGTCCTGCTGTCTGCTTGTGTAAGATTAGGTTACTGATGTTTCAGGGTGGTTTCCAGCTGTATTTTTAAAGTATTAGCAGACTGAACAAAGCAAAGAGGGATTTTATTTTCTGATTTCTTGAATTGCCCTGTTTTTATTTCCAACAAATCGAACCATTTGATTTTGAAATATGCAAGAAGTTTTTTTTTTTGGCATTTATTTTATTAAATCTTTTTATACTTAAGGTGTTTTGTGAATAGATCGTGCTTAGGTTTGCAAACTTTTGTTTTCATGTGGTTGAATAAAAAAAAGAAATGAAAAACTGGTAAATTGTGTGATACTTTTTAAAAAGAGCTAGTTTCGTTTGTTTAACCATCTATAAACTTGTTTATATTAATCCATAATCATTTTAAGACGCAAAAAGTTAAAGGTAATAAAAACCTGCTCTTGTTTCAAATAATGCAGCAACCAGCTGTGTTTTAATGTCTTAACCACAAGATGGCAGTAAAGTGTTGTACACACTTTATTTACTGTTTTCATATAAACTGAATTTAAAGAGGTCAATCAGCGTCATGATTATATATATTTGTGTGTGTTTGTATGTATGTGTATATATATATGTGTGTGTGTATATATGTATATTTTTTTACATTTTTATCCTGATGAAATATATTTATAAAATTTATTCATTTAAAACAAAACATAAATTGAAAATACAATAAAAATACAAATCATAAATGAAAGGTAGCAGAAGAGAAAACCTTATGATTTCTGCCCCTTCTTTTTTTTCCCAAATTAAATCAAAAATAATCTTCAATTAACAAAAATAAAAGAAAAACAAAGATTCAATTCCTTCTTGAGCAACATTTCATACATTATACCCATTATACCCATACATATTTCTCCAACAAATTAACCTTTATCATATTTGAAGTGGAGAGGAGCACTTTTAATCGTATTAATCGTCACATGCCAAAAAATAATCGATTAAAGTTTTTCTGATGATTAATTGCACACAATACGATTATGCCCAACCCTAATACATACACAATCAAAATGTCAAGGAACGCAAAACTAAACAAAATGGTCATGAATGAAAAGGAGCAGAAGGAAGTATAAACTTGCCTCCACTTGTAAAATAAAATCGATCACCAACTCAAAAGTTCAGTCAGCTTACAGAGAAAATAACACACAAAATTACTACAAATCATTACTTTTAGACAATATTATAACGCTTCATCATAGTAGGCTAATTTTCAAGTTTTTTTTAAATACAAAAAAATATTTTGACTTTTTATCTCACTATCAAGAGCGTTCCACAAACGAACACCCTTAATTGAGATTTTGTGATTAGTTTTTATGGTTTGTTGTGTTTTCTAAATGAATCTGAACACTTAGGAGCCACTGGATGTGGAGCCCTGACCTGTAAGGAGGAAGTTATGTCTACAATCTTAGGAGATTTTTAGTTTGTGCAACAAACAGAAAGGTTAAGTATCAGAACTCTTTGTTTCCACACAGAGAAATAACCATGTTTGGAGCTAAGCTTTATTTCCTCATGCCCAACAAGGATTCAGAAATCTAAAAGTACATTTAAAGCAGCGAAAGGCTCTGACACTGGGAGCAGAACGTGCTTGTTTTCATGTTTCTGCCTTGTTCGCTCTCCTCCCTGTTCCTGAACATGCCATGTTGCATTAGGACAAGTAGATATTTGGGTCATCTGAACACTCTGTGCTGTCCTGCATCTCTCTGCTGCCTACAGAGAAAAATTTATTCTCCTCCGCTCTTCTGAATCAGCTGTCATCTCTTATTCTAGGAGAAACATTGATAAAACTGAACTTTTATGTTTTACAGAGATTACAGTTCAGTTTTAATCTTTATTTTCCACCGGGTTTCGTGTTCAGGTGCTGATTCCTGATGCGGCAGCACCTGGTGGACGAGGCGGTCCACAAACGTGGCCTTTGAAGTGGTCTGAGAATAACTCCTGGATGACTTCATGCTTCACGAGTTTTCACGCTTGTGTCAGAGACTTGTTTGAGCTTTAATAAGTGGAGCTCTGATGGGATGAAGCTGCATTACTCAGCATTCACACTCAGCCGGAGAATGTCTGTGACGGACGTTTAAGTCCGTCTCTGGCACCTAAAACCACTCAGTTTGGTCATTTAGTACGGAAAGAGGTGAACTGATTTCCTTCTTTTGTCACCTGGTTTTATGGAGTGCCAAGTGTAAAATGAAACGTTAAAAAATTCACCAATATATTTGTCATTAATAAGCTCACAGTTCTTACATTTAGCTAATTTTTACTAAATGCTGAATTAAAATGTTAAAAATTCAACCAGCCGGTCGAGGCAGGTGGTCTCCTGTCCTGAGCCTGGTTCTGCTGGAGGTTTCTTCCTGATTAGCAGGGAGTTTTTCCTCTCCACCGTTTGCTCAGGATGGGAACTGTGATGAAGTGATTCAACACAATCTGCTGCTTTCTTCTTTACATTGTTCTTTTTATGTACAGTGTCCTGAGACAACGTATGTTGTGACTTGGCGCTATATAAATAAACTTGAACCTAAACTTGAAAGATATATTTAAATATTAAATCCTAAATCTAAATGTAAAAGATAAACCTTAAATGTTGAAAGGAAAAAAAATTGTATAGGTCCTCTGGACGGGTTCTTCTTTAATGAAACGTTTCGTCTCTCTTCCAAGAGACTTCTTCAGTCTGAGAGTTTCAGGCAAAATTCAGGCTTTTAAGTCCTGCCTCCATGTGACTGATACTCACATCACATGACTATGATTCACCATAGCCATGTGATGTGTGTATGAGTCACCTGTGAACGATAGCCATGTGATGTGAGTATCAGTCACATGGAGGCAGGGCTTAAAAGCCTGAATTTTGCCTGAAACTCTCAGACTGAAGAAGTCTCTTGGAAGAGAGACGAAACGTTTCATTAAAGAAGAACCCGTCCAGAGGACCTATACAATTTTTTTTCCTTTTGATTTTTTACCTGGATTACTGAGATGCATCAGGACTTAAATGTTGAAGTTCACATTTAGGAACGTCGGAATGGAATGCAGCCTTTGCTGTTGGTGCTCAGCTCATGTTATGATGTCATCACCCTGAGACGATAGCAACCGCTAACTCCAGTGCAGCTAACGCTTCCCCACAAGACATCAAACCTGGAGTTCTGGCTGGTGTCTGAGCTGCACTTAAACTGCTGGACCACAGGTGTTGTTTTTTTATGAACACATTCTGAATTTAGATTTTAAAAATTATCTTTAGCAGTGTTAGCGTTAGCAGAAGTTGGCATCAGATAACCAGGGTGATGTCATCAACCTGCGACAAATAACAATGGTCACTGCTAGCCACCGCTAGCCTTATATGAGGCCTTTTCAAGTAGAATTGTGATGCTTATCTTGAGGATTGTGTGACAAACTGAATCTGGGATTTCAGAATTTCTAATTAATTAATAATAATTAATAATTAATTAAACCTTTAAGCACCACCCTTCAACAATTAAATGAGACCCAGGACTGTTAAGAAGCTGCAATATTTCCTCCAAAAACTCCCGGGGTCTCCTTAGTTTCTTACTTTATTGTATTTTCTTTAAATATAATCTAAAATCACACCTCAGACATGAAAAAACCTGTATATTGACATAAATTAGTAACACTTTCTAACAGATTGAACTATCTTTGACTAACCCAAACTGCAGCTCCCATGTCTGAACCCCATGACTTCGAATAGCTGCAGTGAGATTTACTGGACTTAGAGTCTGAAGCACCTGCACCTGTTTGCACTTTAATATTTCGCAGCTCTGATCTCTTTGAACTGTAGTAATAATAATTTGCAAACTAATCGCCTAATCCTGTTCTCCGAAAACAAAGTGAACATTCATCCCGAGTGTCAAATTATTTATTTAAGCACAATACAGGTGTGCCTTGGGTGGGACTATGTTCCTGTGGTTCAGTTTGGCACAAATACAGAGGTGACTGTGATCCTGTTCATGATAAATCACTGCTTTAAGACTGAAGAGGACTCAAACTGACAACAGGTGGGACTGGAAACCAGATTGGACAAAAATACACTTTGTCAAGCTTAATCTGGGGCTTATTTATTAATCAGCTGAAGAGGACAAATTCTAGTGTCTGAATATTCTATAAACATCACTTAAGCCTCTGAAACAGAGGAGCCCAAAGTGGGGTCCGCGGGCCAAATTTGGCCCGCCAAGCCATTTGATTTGGTCCACCAACAGTTGCCAAAGTTACAAGGTTGTAACCTGTTATCCTATGTAGAAAAACAGTATTTCCATTGGTCAAATGACTGTATAAAAGGGCTGTAGTGACGGTAGTTTTCATTCATGGTGCTGACTTTATCTTTGATTTATTAGGATTAAACATGAAACATAAAATTACAAGAAATATTTAGATCAGATATAACCCCACATGTAGATTTGTACACTTTATAATGCCACAAAAACTCATATTTTATCCATTTATGAAATGCCCCATGAGCCTTTGCTACTTGAACGTTTGGCAGACTTTCTCCAAGTGCACAGAATAAAACAAAAGAGGGCAATTGCAAAGCTTAATCTTTAAAAATAAAGGACTTTACTTTAAAAAGTATTTGTATTTCATATATTATATTACTGCATTTGGCCCGCAGCCCCCGATAGATTTTCGTTTTGGCCCTCTCAAGGAAAATGTTTGGGCACCCCTGCTCTAAAATGAGCAGATTTACAGTTTAAAGTCACTTTTTTATGCTTGAATCATAACAAAAAAATGGCACAAGGGACTAGATTAGTTGTATTAACACATGATGAAGGACTGCAGGCAGAAATAAAGCCAGACTCTGAGACACGCAGCACATGAGCGAACACACACACCCTCACTCGAGATGCCTTTCGGACAGGCATGTGCTACACAAAAATAAACTGTAGTGCTACGGTTTGAAGGCTGGGCTGCAGGGCTTACAGGACGCATGTGTCCTTGAATAGGAATAATAAAAATCCACCATCTGACACAGTGATTCTGTTATGTGGAGGACAAAAATATCACCGACCTGCTCTCTGCAGCCGTTTCACAAGAATTACTGCACAGGTGTCAGAAACTATAAAAGGACAGATCATGATGGGGTTTTGAGACTTTCAGGATCCCTACAAGGACAGTTTTCATATATGTGACCCTTTATATCCAAACGAGGATTAAGTCTAAAAAAGTCTAAAAGTGTGATGTGGAGAAATAGGCAGATGTGTTTTGATTAAAACATTTGCAAAAATTGCATTTGGTAAAATATAATGATTAAATAGGTTATCAGTGTATCATTGGAATGAACTGTCTATGA